AACAACTCCCTTAGTGACTCGTCACTCCACTTAAAATGGCCCTTATTAAGAGTGATGTCCTCCGCCTTAGCTGTAAGACCAACCAACTCAAATGTAAGTCAACAACAAGAACATATTTCTTTGCAGGGGATTCTGTGCAAACTCATAGGCGATTTGGTTGAGGAAACTTGAACAGCTGAAGTACACCCGGGCTGTCTGCTAATTACCTGCCAGGCAGTCGCCTGAGCACTCCACTATCGTTGCATGACGTGCAGAGCCGTGAGATAGGATCTGTCTCCATTTATAGATCATAAAAAACCAAAGCTTTAGAGAGGTTAAGTAACTTGCCCGATGAAAGCAATTGCTTCTGACCCTTGTACATCATTATGTCTACAGGAGAATACCGCATACACATGTTGCCTAACCTTTGAACACCATTTACTCAAGAATGGCTTTCCTTTCCCTGCCGTGCACACCCAGTCCTTTCTGGTCTGTGTGGAAACATCTGCTGGGTTCAGGGATGTGGGATTGGGGATCTCACTGTTTCCGCACCCCAAAACTATGTTCTCCAACAGCTCAGTCAATCAAAACAGCTGATATCGGCGCAGGAGTGGAGTTCTTGGTTCAGGACTGTCTCTAATGTCCTGGACTGCAGAAAAGCCCTTGCCCTTACCCTGGGTAAATAGCTGAGAATTTGTGTCTCCTTCCCACTCTGCAGGCACTCTTGTCCTCTCCGTTCCGTTCCTTGCCTCCTGAGGAGCTTCAAGATTGCTGTTCTGTAGCCCTGGGTTGACGTGGGGAAGGCAGAAGGGTCCCCTGCATCCCTGGTGGGAACAGGAATGGGTCTGCCCACCAACTCCTCTGAAATATTGCATACCTGTGCTTCCATTTATGAGGCCATCCGTTCTGCTAGTCTCAGAGCCCCCCAGGGAGGGAGACCCAGGGACTCTGCCTGGAACTTACTGCTGTGAGCGTTTCTGAGGTGTAGACAAACAGCTCCCCCCCCACACACCTAGCCAACAACCCACTCTCAAGGTGGGAAACACCTTTCTAAGGACTCGCATTAACCCATCTGGATAACCCAGGGTAGTCTGGAGCAGAGGTTGAAACCATGAATGGCTCAGGTACGGTAGAAAATGCCTATGATTGTTTTGGACATCGCTGCTGTTGCAACAGAGAAAGATCGAGCCCCATCACCTAGAAGGGATTTCATTCTTTGCGACTGGAAAGAGTGTTCAGAATCCAATGCCAATTATTCCCAGAAAAAAATACCGTTTGAAACATTACAAATCAAATTGAGTTACATAAACCCCCTTCCTCATCCCTTCCAAGGAGGGTGGATTCTGCGGATGTCAAGGGTGACTGTGGCAGGTGTGAAGGGTGGGAAAGAGATCGAATTAGAGAAAACCAAGGAAAGAGCAATGGCCAGGCACCTAGGAAAAAGGAGAGAGGCCTAGGTGACGGGACTCCGAGTTGGGGAGAAACAGACACAGAGAGGTGAGTCAGAGGGAGGCTACAGAGGGGTGTGCTGGGGAGAGGTGAGGCTGCCTCAAGGAGAGGAAGCATGGGAGGAGACCTGGCCCAGGTTTCAGAGGCTCCGCCCAGCAGCGTGCAATAGTACCTCCTCCCCCAAGAAATCAGGATTGTGCAGGAAACACTCTCCTATTTCTCAGTGGCCACTGGAGAGCTCTGAACCCAGTCCAGTGTCAACAGCCAGGTGTTGTCACGCAGTTCCTCTGACTCCGCAGCACGTTCTAATTGCAGTCACTGTGAGTAGACCAGGCAATTTTGCCCTCTGCCCCAAATTCCTAATGGTAATAGGAAGTTAAACAGGAGCATTTTTTTAAATTGCTCAAACATGTCTTTAGGCATTTAAATGTATTTATAGAAATGTGTGTAAGTATGTTTACGTACATTTCTATACAAATATTCTTGTAAGTAAATGTTATTTATATATACTGCAGATCTAATGATGCAATTGGCTTCAATTTTTAGATATTAGAGATTAGGGAGGCTCTTGGTCAGGACAGTCAGGAGGAAGGGAGAGATGCTTAAAGAAATTGACAGAGCCGCATGGTAGAAGTCTGATAGAAAGGGCTTGAGTGAGATCTGGAAAGACAGTTCATCAGGGAAAAGGTGCCCACTGCCTGTTGGGAGCCAGTGCCTCCCACATAGTGGTGCTCAATCCACTGTGGAACTCAACAGAGCCCTGGTAGAGCACGCTCTGGGACTCACAAATCCAAATGGGTTAAAAGAGAAATAGAAGAATTTGGTCGTGAGAGAAAACAGAACTTCTGGACTTCTATTTTATCTATATTTTCTGTCCAAGAAAAAAAAAAAAAAAAAAAAAAACCTTAATACTGAGAAGGAGACTGTGTTAGTCGGGGTTCTCCAGAGAAACAGAATCAACTGGGGGTGTGTGTGTGAGAGGAGGGAGGGGGGAAGTTGAGTTGTTTAAAGATTAGGTTCCCACAATGGTAAGGGCTGGCAAGTCCAAAATCCACAGGACAGGCTGGCAGGCTGGCAGGCTGAGACCCCAGGAGTCCCTGTTGCAGTTCGGGTCAGCTGACAGAATCCGATCTTCTCTGGGGAGGTTTGTCATTTTCTATTAAGGCCTTCAACTGATTGGATGAGGCCCACCCACATTATGGAAGGTAATGACTCTGCTTTGCCAAAATCTACTGATTTAAGTGTTAATCTGCTAAAAAAAATGCCTTCACAGAAACATTCAGGAAAACCTGTGACCAAATATCTGGGTACCATGGCCTAGCAAAGTTGGCACATAAAACTAACAATCACAAAGAGACTGACATTGTGTGGGGCAACTAAAACCCAGGAGAGGGTGGAGAGTATGAAACGGCATCCAGGTGATGAGAACTGAGTTCCGTTTCTGCCCAGTGACCTGCAGCCCAGCAGCCAGGAGCTGAGCTGTAAGAATCACCGCCATGAGCTTCTCAGGAGTCCATAAGACATCAGCAATTCTGGTGGCCCTAAAGGGCTAGAAGGTGACTCCATAAACCCTGAACCTTGTACTTACCTTTGACAAGATTCTAAGATAGATTGCCAAAAACATGCTTTAGAAAAACCTTAGGAAAGGGGCCAGGCGCAGTGGTGGCTCACGCCTGTAATCCCAGCACTTCGGGAGGCTGAGGTGGGTGGATCACCTGAGGTCAAGAGTTCAAAACCAGCCTGGCCAACATGGTGAAATCCCGTCTCTACTAAAAATACAAAACTAGCCGGATGTGGTGACAGGTGCCTGTAATCCCAGCTACTCGGGAGGCTGAGGCAGGAGAATCACTTGAACCTGGGAGGCAGAGGTTGCAGTGAGCTGAGATCACACCATTGCACTCCAGCCTGGGTGACAGAGGAAGACTCCATCTCAAAAAAAAATAAGGGTAGATAGTAGTAGGTTATGTACTTTTGGGTACAAAAAATGAAGCCAAACAAACAAACAAACAAAACCCCACCTAACTTCATAAGTGTAAAATATGAGACTTACATATATGTGTGTGTGTGTGTGTTTTGTTTTGTTTTTATTTTTGTTTTTGTTTTGTTTTTAAGACAGGGTCTCCCTCTGTCACCCAGGTTGGAATACAATGGCGCCATCTTGGCTCACTGCAACCTCTGCCTCCCAGGCTCAGCGATCCTCTCACCTCAGACTCCTGCCTAACTGGGACAACAGGTGTGCACCACCACACCTGGCTAAGACTTTCGTGTTTTGTAGCAGAAATTAATGGGGGAAAATGTTATAGAATTCCATCATTAACAGAAGTGTAATGTAGCCACCAGCCAAGCAAAGGGCTCCAAGGTGCACTAATAGGGTCTTATAGGGTGGGAGGAGGTGGCCCCTTACTGCTCTATGCTGATCAAGCCTCACCTGAAGCACCTTACTTCGTTCTCAGGTCTACAGTTTTAGCAGGACAGAGGCAGCTTAGCATATTCAGGGGAGAGTGAGAGACAGTGAGGGAACTTGTTAGGTGTGAGGTGTTCAAAGGAACCCTAAGCCTTGGAATATTTTGGTGGAATGTGAAAGGAGGTAGACAGATTGAACCATTTTGTACCAAGGGATGCAGATGGAGGTTGGAATGTGGATGGAGGTTGGCAAGTTTCCAATACAGAACTGTTCGATGAAGACCAACTGTTCAAGCCATCAGAAGAAGGCCAGGGTTGCTGCATCACTGGGGACATCACAGAAGAGTCAAGAGGTTTCCAGGGGCTGCAGGCGATGGTTGCTGGGTCCTCTGTAACTTTGGGCATGAGTCTAGGAAAGGAATAATAGCTTTGCAGAATGCTACAGCAAGTGCAGAAGAGTAAAAAATGAAGCTGACATTTTCTGCACACGTCATGTGTGCCTTATTCTGTGTTGTGTCCCACAGTTAACACTAGCAGCAGCCTCCAAGACAGGCATTATGGTTACCTCCATCCTACAGATGAAGGCATTGAGGCTTAGGGATGCAAACTGAATTGCCCAAAGTTACACGACCAGTAAGTGGTGGGCTAGTTCAAACCGTGATCTCTGGGACTCCAGTGACAAAAGAACCAGTGGTCTGAGGGGAAAAGCCAAGTGGGTTGTATTTAAGACCATAAAACAAAAAAAAAAGTCTGAAAGAGAGACCTAAGTTGTTCGTTTAGATAGTTTTTATCTCTACTTGGTCTCATCTTAGTAAATTTCACATGAATAGAACATGTGGGTGAAATTTCAGTAAAAAATTATGAAATAAGGCCAGGTGTGTTGGCTCACGCCTATAATCCCAGCACTTTGGGAGGCTGAGGCAAGTGGATCACCTGAGGTCAGGAGTTCGAGACCAACCTGGACAACATGGTGAAGCCCCATCTCTACTAAAAATACAAAAATTAGCCAGGCATGACGATGCATGCCTGTAATCCCAGATACTCCAGAGGCTGAGACAGGACAATCGCTTGAACCCAGGAGGCAGAGTTACAGTGAGTCTAGATCACACCACTGCACTACAGCCTGGGCAACAGAGTGAGACTCCATCTCAAAAAAAAAAAAAATATATATATATATATATATATAAAACAAAAAACATAAATCCAAGGCAGAACTCAGGCCAAAATACCACCAAAGACAGCCAACACTTTGGAGGATGATCGTATACAATTTAGTCAGAAAGGTACATGGGCAAAAAATCATAGAAGGTGGGCCAGATGGATATCTTCTGGTGATACTGACAGGGCCACAGGTTGAACCAGAAGCCCAAGCGTGGGAGAATGAAGTGTGTCTACAGAATGACTAGGTCTCAATGAGGAGGGCCAAAACTGGCGTAGCCAACTCCAAGGGCTCTGACTGAGGTGCCAGAGGAACAGACAGGTAAGGCCCCCCTTATGATGGGAACGTCACATCCTGCCCAGAAAACTGGGAGCTCCCTTGTTCCCAAAAGCAGGAGAATCACATTTCCACATACTTGCAATTGTTGACTACGGGTCAGAATCGTTGAAAACAAAAAGTGTAATGTTTGAAATGAGAAGTAGATTTGATGTACCTACCAGCAAAATACTAAATTTTTGTAGCCACCAGATGTAAAGCACAGCATCAACAATGAAGAATGCAAAGGGGAGCATACTGTGTCTCTATAATCGAGCATGATGACAATAATCGGTCAGACATTTCACATTTCACCTAACCACTTGCTGCACAATTTCTCCATGGGTGAAATCAATGGAAGTGGGTCTTTTTATTTTACTTTATTTTTTAAGTAACATAGTCTTACTCTGTGGCCCAGGCTGGAGGGCAGTGGCATGATCATAGCTCACTGTAACCTCAGACTTCTGGGTCCAAGCGACCCTCCCACCTCAGGCCCCCAAGTAGCTAGGACTATGGGTGTGCACCACCATATCTGGTCAAGTTTTTTTGTGTGTGTATTTTTTTTTTTTATAGATAGGGTCTTGCTATGTGGCCCAGGCTGGTCTCAAACTCCTGGGTTCAAGTGATCCTCCCACCTCGGCCTCCCAAAGTGCTGGGATTACAGGCATGAGCCACTGAGTGCAGCCCAGAAATGGGTCTTTTAAATGTATTACAAAAAACAAATTGTTGTGGGCTGAACTGTGTCCCCCCCTCAAATTCATACGTTGAAATCTTAACCTCTAGCACCCCACAATGTGACTGTATTTGGACACACAGCCTTTAAAGAGGTAAAGTAAAACGAGGTAATTAGTTTAGGCCCTAATCCAATTTGACTGGTCCTACTAGGAAAAGGGGATCAGGACACAGACATGAGCACGTACAGAGAAAAGGCTGTGCGAGGAGAAGGCTGCCATCCGCAAGCCGAGGAGAGAGCTCTGAGAAAAAAAAAAAGATCTTGCTGACACCTTCCTCTTGCACTTCCAGCCTCCAGGACTGTAAGAAAAGACATTTCTGTTGTTTAAGCCACCAAGTAGTATTTCGTTATAGTAGTCCAAACAGACTAACGCACAAATCAAAACTACTTTAGTCTTTCCACTTTGTTGCAAACGATTGCAAGGTGTCCAGGTTTTCTGTCTTCCCCCAACCTACAAGTGCTCAGAGAACACTCAACCCCCATGATCTCAGCCAACACATGAAGTCTGATTTCACAAAACTTAGTGATGTCCTCCCAGTGGAATCCTAAATGATAAGGAAAATGGTATAGAGCCAAGACTCGAACGTTAACAACCCAGGAGCACAGAAACAGTAGAGTTAGCTGAGAGGCGTTATGGAGAGAAGCAACGGAATGCACACTGAGCGTTGTGACAAGCCCACGACAGTGGGGAACAGTGCCCACCGTCGCAAAAAGAAAGACCCTCGGCAGGTACTTTAGAGTCACGTTCATGCCGTAATATGTGGGGAAGAAAGACTATTCCAAATGGATCTGGCTCTTTAAAACAAGGCAATTTTCCTTGCTTGGGAACCAGCAAAATCCAGCTGCTCATTGAACTGCCCATCTGGAATCTCACAAATTTGCACCTTGAAGTTGTTAATAAAGGACTAAGTTGATAATTCGAATAAACCCTGTGGTTTGGAAGTCACCGTTTTTCTGCTTAGCGTTCGACTTTCAAGCTCTTCTTTTGGAATAGCTCTTCAGGGCATTCTATGGATGTGTAATAAACTGACAAATTCCTTGTGAGAAGTTTTAGAAACTGTCAGGTGAAATGAGCCAGGTGGGAGAGCCCGGGTGACTCAAAGCTGAAGCAACGAGGGCTTTTTCCACTGTGGCTTCTAAATGGGCTCCCAGGGTACACCCCCGGCCAAAATTTTCAGCCATGTTTTGAGCAACGTCAACCTTGGTAGAAGAGTGCGTCATCCTGAGGGTGCTACCACGAGGGACCACATCATTTGCATATTTATGTCACAGCAGGCCTGATCCACACAAACTCCTGTCTCTTACCGAGTTGTGTACCTTTACCTCCATGTGCTCATTGGCCAGCCGGAAGACACACAGCGAACCTCTTGTGCTCTCAGCCTCGGTTTGCCCACCTCCATGCCTTTGTACATGCTGACCCCCATTCCACACACCTGGACCACCACTGCACATCCAAATCCACCTGCCTCTCAGGGCCTTGTCCAAACGCTGCCTCCTTCATGAGCACCCATGGTGAGTCCAAGGCAAGTCCCTGTCCCTCCCTGAACTCCAGGTCACATCACCCCAAGCCATCTCCATCAAGTTGCCTTCCTTTTTTATACCCCCATTGCTTAGATCTTACTTTTGTGGGACCGTAAGTGGTTTCCACTGGGATGCCTTTCTAGTTCACCTCTGTGTCCTCATCAATTCAGTGCTGAATTATATACCTGTGATTTTTTTTCACTTCATTTCAATATCATTACTTTCTAATTGCAATGCACAAACATTCCTAGTGGTATATTCCAAAGCACACTGTCATTTGGTGTTCTTTATAATGTATAGTGACTATCATGTTTGCCCTTCCAAGCCCTGAAATCTTTCCACTCATCTGTTCTGCTTATATGCCTTGATGCAAGAGGGGTTAAAGTTTCCTGCATAAAATTTCTGCACTAGAGGGCACACTAGAGCATGTCCGTGCATAAATATGAACACATATAAATATGTGCATGGGAGGAGGCAAGAAGACGGGGATAGTAGAGAGAACAGAAGCTGGCTGAATCTCCTCTGGAGATGATCTGGAGGAGCTGCATTTAATCCAAACATAAAGCGTTCGTCTAGGAAGTGACCTTCAAAGGCTCTTAGTCTTGTGCATGAACATGAAGCAGCAGAACCTGTGACTTCCAAACCGCAGGGCTGTTTAAATTATCTCCTGTTCCTTTATTAACTGTGTCAGCGTGCAAATTTATGAGATTTCAGGACATACAATTCAGGGAGCAGTGGATTTTGTGGGGTTCCAAATAGCAAGAAGTTTCCTTGTTTTAAAACAACCAGATCAACTGGAATATTCTTTATTAATTATATATTGCCTAATACTATCTGGGATTGCAGCTATTGACCAGTGATGGCAAGCTGGTCCATCATGGGCAATGAAGGGGCCTGGCTGGACCACCTGTTTCTCCATGGCTGCCAGAGACATTGGCCCTGGTCACTTACACGATCTCCATGTGTACAGCCCAGCAGAGGAGCTGGCCGCACTGTAGTGGCTGCAAGAGCATGCAGGTGTCTCCATTTATTTTTGGTGGCTACTTAGCCAACATATACTTGGGGGAAGGAAGGGGAGTCCCCCAGAGGTGCTTCACTAATTCTGTTATAATATTTCTACTCTGTAACACTCTTAATGCTTGGGCGAGAGAAACTGCTGCCACCCCATGCCCACCCTCACATGTGTCACATTTTTCTGGCCCATCTGCACAGGCAGGGGCCCAGGTGTTGCCATCTGTTCTGAGTTCTCAAAATGTCAGTGTGATATGGGCAGCCTAGAGTTTCACAATTCAGCCAGTTCTTCACCCTGCCACGTCTGTCTTGATTGCGGCTCTCATGTGTCCATTCTGCTGCTGCCTCCCACAAGCCGGGTCCTTTCCTTCCAGGCCACACCAAGATCCATGCTGAAAGTGACTCCTAGGAGGGTTACAAATCTCCAGTGTTTATTCACTTCAATTCTTCCCACCAAGTCATTATTCTAAAGCTGCACATTCATCATTCCATCCTTTGCTCAAAAATCTTTAAGCAGCACACACACACGTGCACACAGACACACACACACACACACACACACACACACACACACACACACACACACACAGAGCCCTGCAGGTGAAAGACCCAACCCAACACTGTGATCTGGCAGTTGGGACTCTATACACACGTCCCCAGCCTCCTGCTCCACCGCAGCTTGCCTGAGCCAGTGAATCCAGATGTGCCACAGGCACCTGCACTCCACCTCTGACCATGCCACTCCTCCATTTGTAATTATTTTCCCATTTTAAAAATTTCAATCCAGTGTCATTTATCTTCTGCCTATAGTAATGTATTACTTCTAATCTTCTACAATATTCATAGGTTTTGTCCTCAAAACGTTTGTGTTTTTTGGAACTCTGGTCCCATGAAATTCTCTAAGAAAAAATAGAAAGTTCCACCATCATCTACATTTAACGTATACCGCAAAGGTTATACTATTTCACATATTTTCAAAACACATATTTGGATATTTAAAATGCATGACCAAAGGCTCTGAGAAGTCTTGCAGATTTTTAGAAAAAGATGTTTCTCTTGGGTCAACCTGGTTTTTCCCATGCTATATTTATTTGACTGTACACCCTTTGGGGACATAGTATTTATAACGGTCTCCACCACTCACTGGCACCCCCTGACCTCCAGTGCTCCTTTTACAGGCATCACCACAGTACGAACAACTGACCTACTGGTCACCTGTACATAAAAACAGTAGAGAGGAAGTGATAGCAAACTTTCTGCTCGTTACGGGGTAACTACAGCTGGATGTGCTGGGTGTTTCATCTCTGAAGCCATCATGTTGGTTGAGTTCCCAGATTCTGCAAGCTCGGACCTCAGTGGGCTCACCTTGGCTGGAGCCTGATCAGTGCAATCCAGAACTTGTTTGGGAGCCGTGGGTTTAGGAGAGTTTGGGAGGGAACATCGGTGGGATGGGTATCATGGCCCCCTGGTGCTTTCTTTACAACTGGACAGCAAGTTTCCCCCAAGTAGGGTGCTTCTTTGCATTGTTGACCTGAGCCTAAGGTCCTCATAGGAGACTGGGACTCTCCACCACTGCTTTATGTAACAGCAGGTCCTGGTTTACGAAATGTGGCTGAAAAGCAACTTAAAGAAATGAAAGGTCAAGGATAGAAGGTCAAGGTCAAGGAAGAAAGGTCAAGGATCCTCATAGTGATAGAAATGCACCTTTGATTGTTCTCTCTGAGTCCCTGAATGCTGAGACCAGGCTGATACCCAGTACAGGGAGGACCCTAAGGTTGCAGGATATGGGTGGTGAGAGAAGAACCCCGGAGAAACTCAGTTTCTCAATCCCAAGGGATCCCAGGGATGGGTGAATAAATTGGAAAGGCTTTTATTGTGGAGTGGCCCAACAGCCCCACTCCACAGAGCATGCCTTAAATTAAGACAGAGAGTTCTCCTGCAACTAGTCCTTCAGGGCCCCTGGTCTCTTAGTTCTGGGAACCAAGTGGGATAAGTGTCATCAGTCTGGTGGAGCAGGCAGGCCTCCTGCTGACAGCCTGCCTTCTCTGTGGACTCTTCCTGGCCAGAGAACACAGCCCAAGCACAGTAAGCCATGGGGCTGGAGGCTCCATGGGGTCAGAATCTCATCACATATTCTATCCTTGACCTTTCATTTCTTTAAGTTGCTTTTAAGCCACATTTCATAAATCAGGACCTGCTGTTACATAAAGCAGTGGTGGAGAGTCCCAGTCATCAAAGGCAACTACATGTCATTTGGTGTTGGCCCTGCCTTGTGGCAGGGGTCCCCTAGAGACCTATGCTAGGTGACTAGAAGCATCTTCTGGACTCAGCAGGAAAGGGGCTAAGACCCACTGATACCCAGACCTGCATGTCCAGGGACAGTGTCAAATTTGACCTGAAATATTAAGAGTTTAATGCCTTCTTGTTTTACCGTTTTAAAGGGATAATTTCTGACATTCTTGTTTTTAATAAAAAGGAAAAACAGAGTTTTTAATGATGTAATTATAAACTGGTGCAAAATGAACATGTGCAGCCCTTGTTCAAAAACCATTAAGAATTTTCAGATGGTAAAAGCAGGGCATTAAACCAAGCCGGGCCCTTCTGCACAGGGGAGGCCCTAAGCGACTGCACAGCATGCACGCCTGTGAGGCCGGCCCAGCAGACATCGACATCGGCCACGGGTCCAGCAGGGAGAGTGCCAGGGACTTCATGGTCTCACTGTAAGGCCTGCAAGGTGGCAAGACAGAAGTACAGCATCCTAGAAAGACTTCTTTGAGAAGAGGTTCTCAGTCCAGCCCTTGGTGCCCTCCCAAATTCCCACACCCTTGGGGTTTGGGCCGACTTGGCAGCCTCTACTCGTTTGGTTTGTCTCAAGCTCCACTCTTGGTGGCTTCAGTCTCCTTCTTGTAGGTCGCGTCCATTCCTACTCTTGAGATTATTTTCATCAATCTGGTTTAGTTTTGGCCCCAATCAGGCCTATTTTTTATTTGGGTTGCTTGTCTACATTTCACACTCAAGGTCAAACTTTCTCAATATGCAGATACTAAAATGCCTGGCCTGGCCTGTGCTCAGGTCTGGTTGTCTGTGTTTCCCTGAGCTGACCACGCCCTGGATCCATTTATGCTGAGGCTCTCTGAAACTCACCTCCTGAAGGCTCTCAGCTGCTCTGGCTCCAATGGCCCTCCTCCACTGCGTTCACTGTCCGCTAGTTCCCATTATCAGGCCCTGACTCCTTCCTGTTTCTGGCCCATATTCTCTAAAAGCTCTGAGCTCCATTCCTCTACCTCTTTGCCCTGAAGTCACATGGGAGTCAGAAAGACACAGACGCCGTGTCAAAGCTCTACCTAATCCCACATTCCAAATGGAAACTGCCCATTGGACACCTCCCCAA